TGTTTAGCTTTGGACAGAGCCAGGCATGAAAAACTTCACTACTTTAACCACTGGAGGAAAAACAAGTTCTGCACCTGGACCTGTGGTAACACTTCATGTAACAACAAAAGGTCCACTTTCCAGCTCCCAGAGCTTTCAATCGCATCCCAAGGTTTTCATTCAGAGTGCAGCTCTGACAGCTAGTGGACCTTTAGCTGAGTTTCTTTTGTTTCATAGGACATAACTATTGTTGTTGATTCATTTTATGTTAATCAACTAATACATGTTGAATCATCTTTTCCGCACTACAATGATGTTCTTCTTATTTGTTCTTTCTTATTTCTTTTGTTTAATAGCATTTTAAACTAAATGATACTCATAATAATAGAATGTGCAAGAAAGACCAACAGCCTGAAAGGCTTATCACGAGTCTCCCCCCAGTTTTGATTTTTTTTTTTTAATATAATTTCAAAGCAAGAAATCATTTTCCTATAGAATAAAATAAAAAAATACATATAACACACAATTAGTAGGAAAGTTATATGAAACTAATTAATCAGAAAATAACAAATAAAACAACAACAAAGAACTCTGAGACAATAACTAAGACTAAGCCTTGAAGTGGCGATCTCTATGATCTCCAACCATACACATGTCTGTCAAGCCATCCAACGCCGCATGAGGCAACACAGTGGCGACCGAGCCCATCGATGAAAGCGCCGCACATTTATATGCAAGCAACTGGGCCTCTGTGGTGACGCCCGGAAAAGAACTATGCACACAATACCGAAAAACCTAAAGCTCATGACCAACGAAGCCACGACTGTGGCTGAGTGGACAGCAGGGCCGTCCTTCAATCAGAGGATCGGCGGTTCGTTCCCCCGATCCGGCTCAGCTAGTCGCATGTCGATGTGTCCTTGAGCAAGACACTTAACCCCAAAAGTGCTCCCGTAGCTGTGCCTACAGTGTATGAATGTGATAGAATCTGAATTGTAAGTCGCTTTGGATAAACACGTCTGCTAAATGACTGTAATGTAACACCTCAGACTAACAAACTCCAGGCACAAATTCTGTTGTCCTCCAAATTATCCAAGGAGTGCCACCCTGACTGAATGCAAGATTTAGCATTATGTTCTTTAGGTGTTTTAACTTCAACAACAGCAACTATTTTATTTATATTTATAATGCACAAAAGTGGTTCAAGCGGGAGTTTTGTGTGGTATTCACCATTTTCTATGTTAGCCTTTATTTCCTGTCTCCAGATAACAACCTGCGTCATGAACGGCTCCTCTGTTTAGAATTATCTCTTATTTCCAGTGTGAGCCTCCCATGAGCCCGTGGGGGGCTCTGGGTGGGAGGTATGGAGCATTCCACCTGGACCGTGGTGCGTTCGCGTGTTTGTGTTGCATTACACATCGCAGCCTTCACAACACCACTGGCTCCACTGGGCTTAGGCCCCCTGGGATTTAAGCACGCAACCACCAGAGGCCAGAGAGGAAAGAGGGAGTGGAATGAGGAGGAGATGTGGGGATGATGGTGTGTGTGTGTGTGTGTGTGTGTGTAGGTGTATGTGTTTGTGTGTGTGTGTGCGCGATGCTCTGTCCTTCTACGGTTTGACTCCTCTGTCTCCTTGTTGAGGCGTTTCGTTAACCTCGTCTCTGGGAAGCGAAGGGCATACACATGCAGAGGGAGCAGATAAAAGTGAGACGGGGATGAAAACGCTCACACACTGGCCCAAGGCCTCTGCTGAACTTTTCCCACGCGTGTACAGACACACACACACAAACACGTATCCAGAAAATGGCCCGTATAACGGCTTATCGGATGTTTATTAAATGTTTCCAGGGTGAATGTCAGGCCAGCGGGATGCCATCCAGCTGTTTGTGTCTTGGCGAGTGGGATGCTGCCCGTCCGACGGGCAGGGCTCTGTTGTCGTCTTGTGTTTTTCCGTCCGTGAGTTGTTCCCATCGCCGTCTGATGGTCTCCCACCTGGATGCCTCCACACGAACGCAGCGCTCTGCCCAAGGCTACGCTAAACAACAAAGAGGGATCAAACGGCACACATGGCTTTGATCAAAACCCCCTCGCTACTGCAATAGAGCAAATCAGAGCTGGGCAGAGCCGAGTTGGACTCAATCCGAACCAGGGGGGGGCAGGACCTGTAGATTTTGGGAAAAGATATAACCTGGCAGAGGGCTCGAGGACAGACAGTAGGCTTTAGGGTTCCCCCAAGAGTTTAGATTTACCACAACTCAATCGATATATATTTTTAAAGTATTAATACACTTATTAATATTTCCTGCCACTGCCTTTTTTTGGTTTGGTATGACCAGTATAGCTTATGGTGGCTAACGTTAGCCAAAGTTAGCATAACAAATATTTAATCACAGAGGTAAAAGACGTTGGGAGACCAGCCATGAAGCCAAATAATGATGTCTTCAAAACGTTGTGATCACAACATTGACATATGATCACCTTTTAAGGTTTTTGATATGGCGAATATTTTTGGAAATTTCGACAAAGTTACAATGTTATAGTGCTTCTCTGTTTGACAGTGACTGTTTCTTAATTGATAGAGCCTCATGCTGCTGTGGTGTATTTCGCTATTAAGAGTCTATTAGGGTCGATCGCATTTTGAGTCGGTTTCTAATTATACTCTATTGTCTATTTAGATCGGTCTAAATGTGAGCTCTGGCAACGTGAATATATTCCTACTCGTCCAATTTTGCCGCTTGGGCAGAAGCCTTTTGCGTATAGTATCTTGACACAGCGCGTGGCCAATGTTGTGAAGCCGTCGCGGTCAGGTTTAGGCAAAAAAACAGTTTGGTTAAAGTTAGAAAAGACATGCGGTTTGGTTTAAAATAAGTATGCTTTTAACTAAATGCTGGTAGAGTCGTGTCATGTCACGTGACTTATTGTCGTCAGTAAAAATAACTCCAATTTTGTTTTCACACTAAATGTTGGGGGCTCGTGGCATGAAGACATTAGACACACTCTGATGAAGGATGGGGGGGGGGGGGGGGTCCTCGGTGGTCCTCTGTGGTCCTCTTGAGGAAACTGAGTCAACCTCACCCCTGAGGGTGGATGTGAGCAGATGTGGCGGAGATGTGGTGGAGTGTTGGAGAGCGGGGTTATCGCAGCGATGAGTGCTAAATGCTGACACTGTCTGAAGGGGAACAGAAACAGAAGGTCATCAAAGAGACGGAGAGAGAGAGAGATGTTATCTGAACTGTTGAGAGGAGGAGATGAGAGGGTGGATGGAGAGGAGGAGCTGTTTGACCTCAAGGATGATGTACTCATTTTACTACCACATTTACAAATAGCACTGACAATAATGTACTAACGCAACACTCGGGACATTACCACCCAAACTCAGCAGGGTTTAAAAGAGCTGAGATGTAGCTAAAAGATGATCCATACATAATAAAATTGATAATTTGGATGTCAAAATAATTATTTGTACAGTCAGCTGGTGTGCAACATTGGTGGGCACGACTTTGTGTTGTGCGTTACAGCTTTGTCAAGGATCTGACAGCCGAATTCTCTGCAATCTGGATGTGTGCCACAGCTTGATTGAGACGGACTAGCTGGGCTTTACAGAGGTATGTGTGGTCTTGGGAACTCATAACCCAGGACTCATAAAACAAGCTTGAGAAACCCTGAGGAAAAACACATCTGCCCGTACGGAATGATAGCCTGGAAGTTAATTCTGTTGGAATTTGCCTTTATTAAGGGCCATTCTGATATTCAAACTCTGTTCACCGTACAGAGGAGCCTGCAAATACAGAAACATTAATATTGTTTTTACTATTATAATAATAGTTTTCATTAGTTAAGGGATTGTTTTTTGCTCCTTAAAGACTCAGCTGTGGTGCTATATTTCACATAGGATGTCAGCTATGGACAAAGAAATGGAATATAATATAAGTATATGTTTTCTTTCGTGTATAATCACTTGAAAATAAGAACTGGTGTGTTTTCTTTACCTTAGAATGAGCCGTTTTTTATCTACACATGGACGGTGTCCTCTTTACGGAGTCTGCCATGTTGAACGTTGCCTTTATGCGTCGGCCACCGTAGTTCTGCACGCTCGGCACACAGGAGAAGTTTCAGCCGGTTGCGATCAGCAAACTCACTGCGTGGATAGCCTAGCTTAGCATAAAGATGACACCATTAAAAAAGTTTCTGGAATGCGAAAAGAGACAACTGTCAACAACATTGTGTTGACACTACGTAAAGGAATCAATCTCAACAATCCGTCTACTTAATCTAGTGTTAAGTCGTAAATATTAAGTCAAAAATGTACGTGGATCCGCACTAGAAATGAGTTCGCTCATGTCATCTGCAAAACTTTCCATTGTTTGAGGAAAGCACGCTTTTTAGACTCAACATGCTTGACATGAGTGCGCTTTGAGTAGCGTAGACGGTACACGACCAGGGCTGCTCCCGCGCTGGGAGACTCACCGCCAGCTTATGAGAAAGCCTATTTCTGTAAGGTGCAGCTGGGACTGGAGATATGAGACTGAAGTGAGGTGAGGTGGATGTGTGAGGGTCAGGGCATCCAGACTGATGCCATTTTCTCACACATCTTAGATTGTGTGTGCGTGTGTCTGTGTGTGTATGCGGTATATCTCCCCGACCTGTCTGGCCTGGAGGTGGTGTGTATGATAAGCCGCTTTCCCTCCTCTCAGTGTCCTCACAACCTGACATTTATTATCCAAAACATTCCCACAACATCATGGGAACCAAACCCCTCTGTACGCAAGATGTGCTTCATCTGAATGGTGTGGTCCAATTCAATAATTGCCGGTTTGAAGGTCTCATTTTCTTTGACAATAACTGTATCAAAGTGAGGGGAGACCCTTTGTAGCCTCTGTCTCGCCTGTCTCTCACCTTATACCGCTTTAAACAACGACATCAAACGCGGCACTTTACCCTGTATGTTCCTCCGTGACCTCCGTGTTCTTTCAGGCCATCTGCTGCTCACTAACCTGTTGTTGGTCTTTTTGTTTTTCTGTCAGATACCTGGCCAAGCTGTCGTCAGTGGGAAGCATCCGGGACGAGGAGACGTGCGAGAGGTTACGAGGCCTCATCCAGAGACAGGTACAGACCTCTACCTCTGTGCACCTTGCTTACTGTAACGTGTGTCCAACAGTGTTTTCTTTCAGCATGGGGTATTAACATCTGGTATCTGGTATTGATTTGATAATGACATATCAGTACCTTTTTTCTCCAGGACACGTCTAATGAGAAAGTGAAGTATTTTGTCAGTATGTGTGCTTGTGTTCGTGGCTGACGCAGCTCCTGTGTGTCTCCGCTCCAGGTCCAGATCTGTAAGCGCAGTGTGGAGGTGATGGATGCAGTGCGTCGTGGAGCCCAGCTGGCTATAGACGAGTGTCAGTTCCAGTTTCGCAACCGTCGATGGAACTGCTCCACTCTGGAGACCATGCCCGTGTTCGGCAAAGTGGTCACCCAGGGTAAGATTATGTACTGCATCTTGGCACAAAAGAGACACTGACTTGACAGACAACGTTTGGTTAGGACCCCATGGGGAAGCTTAGGTTAGGTTTGGTTTACAATTACATAACTTCATTAACTACGTAGGTTATGTTCAGCAATATGATGTAAATTCTGAATGTTACTTACGCTACTTAAAATGAGTCAATGTTTACTTGTGGTTTCACTGGGAACACAAACAGTGGTCTCCTGGGTGAAAGTCCTGTGTTTGCTCGAACCATCCATCGCCCCCGACCACTACCCCTCTCAGTCTTGTCGCTCGTTACTCGACAGCCCTGTTGGTCTTTGTAAGCGCACCCGCCCTGGGAATGAGACCGGGCTGGCCCTACAGCTGATTGACACTAAAACAACTTCATCAGTCAACTATCCAACCTGCATGCATTTACAAAAATGGGGATTATTCCATTCCATTTTCAAATATTGTGACATTTCAGCGCTGGTTTCCATTTGTATTGGCTCAACCAGCTCCTGTATGTCAATGTCTGAGCTCCCTCCCACAAACTTTAATACAGTCTTCATCTGTAGAAGTTTTCTTGCCATTCAAAATGAGAAGCTCTTTTCAGTTACATAATGAAACAATACGACTGTGTGTGCCCGTGTTTGTGTATGTGTTAGGCACCCGTGAGGCAGCCTTTGTGTATGCCATCTCAGCAGCCAGTGTGGCGTTTGCGGTCACGAGGGCCTGCAGCAGCGGAGAGCTGGAAAAATGTGGCTGCGACCACAATGTACATGGAGTCAGTCCAGACGGTAGGTCTCTCTTTCCCTTTCACACAAACACACACACACACCCACACCCAAAGGAAACAGAAGGACCAACTGATGCAGTACATTTGAATGCAATGATTTTAAAAGCTAAATAATGCGACGTTTTAAATATTTGTTTCATTTTGAAAAGGCCAGAAGGATGTCATTGGTAGCATATTATTCATGCCATGTTATCTCCATGTGTATAGAGCCAGATCTTTTACAATATATCCATATCACACATTACTACAATGAACCATCAATAAAGAATTATCTGAATGTATTTTCATAGGGTTCCAGTGGTCGGGCTGCAGTGATAACATTGCATATGGCGTGGCCTTTTCCCAGTCCTTTGTGGATGTGAGGGAGAGGAGTAAAGGCCAGTCCTCCAGTCGGGCTCTCATGAACTTGCACAACAACGAGGCTGGCAGGAAGGTAACTTAAAGGCCCTTGACATATATGCCCTTTTGTAAAACACTCAACTTCTTTTAGTACAGCGCACCTAAAGGGTCATGTTGGATTTTTTTTTTCTGAACTGATACAAGTCTAAGTCTTAAGTCATTCAAGATAAGTCCAGGTCAAGACTTACATTTTCTAGATAAGTCCAAATCTCAAGTTTCAAGTAAATCCAATCAAGTGCAAGTCCATTTTTAAGTCATTCTACTCCGAGTCAAGTTATTTTAGACAAGTCCAAGTTAAGTCTCAAGTCCAGATTGAGTATTTAATCCTTCTAGAGAATTGCAAATTAAGTTTCAAGTAAGTCTAGACAAGCTGAATTCAAATCCCAAGACAAATGAGACAAGTCCAAATCAAGTCTTACATTATTCCAGTCAATTCAAAGCTATGTCTCAGGTCATTCAAATAAGTCCATGTCAAGTTATGTGAGACAAGTCCAAGTCAAGTTTTAAATCTTTCTAGATACGTCCAAGTCAAATTTCAAGTCATTAAAGGCAAGCTGGAGTCAAGTCCCTAGTCATATGAGACAAGTCCAGGCCAAGTCACATGCCATTAAAATAAGTCCAAGTCAAGTAAAGTCTCAAGTTATTCGAGACAATTTTAAGTCATGTTTGGAGTCATATGAGACAAGTCTAAGGCAGGTCTCAAGTCAGTCAATAACAGTCCAGGTCAATTTTTCAAGACAAGTTGAAGTCAAGTTTATCATTCAAGACTAGCCTGAGTCTAGTTCAAAGTCCGAGTCAAGTCGTACGTTACCAGATAAGTCCTAAGTCAAGTTTCAAGTCGTTCAAATAAGTCATATGAGACAATTCAATTTCAAAATACATTACAAAATACAATATGCTTACTCAAGTCAGACTTGAGACTCAAGTCTGACTTGAGTCTCAAGTCTCAAGTCTACAGCTCTGGTAGCTGTAGAACAGTCAGCATTTGAAGCTATTTTTTAGGGATATTATGCATTGTCATCACATTATTTCAAGGTCTTTCTGCTAACCAAAGGTTCTTTGGCTTCTCTGCAGGCCATCCTGTCCCACATGCGTGTGGAGTGCAAATGTCACGGCGTGTCAGGCTCCTGTGAGGTGAAGACCTGCTGGAAAGCCATGCCGCCCTTCCGCAAAGTGGGCAACGTCATCAAGGAGAAGTTTGACGGCGCCACTGAGGTGGAGCAGCGCAAGGTGGGCACCACCAAAGTCCTGATGCCTCGGAACTCCCAGTTCAAACCTCACACGGATGAAGATCTGGTCTACCTGGAACCCAGTCCAGACTTCTGCGACTATGACCCGCGCACGCCGGGTATGCTGGGCACCGTGGGCCGCCAGTGCAACCGAACGTCGAAGGCCATCGACGGCTGCGAGCTGATGTGCTGCGGCCGCGGCTTCCAGACGCAGGAGGTGGAGGTGGTGGACAGGTGCAGCTGTAAGTTCCACTGGTGCTGTTATGTCAAGTGCAAACAGTGTCGCAAAATGGTGGAGATGCACACTTGCCGGTGATGGGAGTGGCACAGAGGGCACTGCTGATGAACAAAACAAACGCCCCACACTCCCGCTCGATTACAAAGGCCAGAGGGAGCGAGGAGGACTTGTTAAGCTCCCTCTTCTCCTGCTTGAACCCCCCCCTCCCCCACCCTCCTACTACTGGTCAACGGAAACAAAGTGAATGGCTTAGAAGTCAAATGTCATCCTATTCATTTTATGACACCTTAATGGACATCAGTAGATTATGCATGGGATTTCTTACAAAGCTACAGAGGCAGTTTCTTCTCGAGTAGAGAGTGTCTTTCACTTTCTGTCCCCCCCCCTCACTCTCATGTTTGCTTTGTCATTGATGCTTCTTATTTTTGTAATGTTTAACTTATTTTGTTGAGATTGAGGAGACTGATGAGGGGTGGACCTAGAAGGAGGGGACAGACCAATGGAGACAATAAGGGACTAACTGGACCCATGGGTGGGTGGGGTTAAAGGGTTGGGGTGGGGTCAAGAGGAGGGTTGTTTGCCCTCTGTCCTTGCTGCTGCTGCTGCTTTTGGAGGACTCAGTTGGAGCGCTGGATGTCAAAAAAGGGAGACGCCGAGTCTGTCGGAGGACGGACGTGAACAACGAGGAGGAACATGTCGCACTTTCTGTGATTTGCTTCCTGAGTGTACATGGCTGTGCTGCGCTGAGGTTCAGATGCTGCTCCACTCTCTCACTCACACACACACACACACACACACACACACACACACACACACACACACTCACTGTCTTTCTGTCAGAGGGAGGATGATGATGGACAGGTGAAAGCCACTGTCAGGTCCTTCCTGTCTTATCTGTACAGTACTGGCAGGTGATGGTCATGAGACACGTACCCAGCAAACATTGATCCAGATCGACACCTGTATTCATCCACAGCTTCCGGGTCCGATTTGGCGTGAACTTGGCCTCCACCTGCATGTCGCCATCTGCCAAAAATGCTAGTCGGCTTAATGCAAACACGAGTAAACACGCAGAGACGCGCATGTACCGGCAAACACACACACAATGTAAACACACGCGTACACAAAGGGGTCTGCCAGAGGGTTGCCGAGCATGCTCACCATGCATGATGACTGAAGCACTTTCTCTCCAAGCGCACATAGAGCCCTCGCCCCCACAGCAACGAGCGATCCGACCACACACTCAGTTTTCCCGTTCCTCTCACACACACACACACACACACACACACAGATTCCCATGCCACTGTCAGGACTCTATTGTTGTCTTGTACCACCACCATAAAGCCAAGCTTTCCTATAATAACGTGCTGTCATTATAGAGACATACTGTAGATCTGTAAAGACTTATACACTGAAGAAGATTATACTGCCTATGAATGTATGTTAATACGGAATATATGCTGTGTCCAAAATGACTGTTGTCCCTTCTTTCAAAAGAGACTACGTGTTGTGTGTGTGCGTGTGTGTGTGTGTGTGAGCGAGAAAGAGAATGCCAACAAAACAATGTTGCTAATAAGGAAAGAGAGAACATGAGAGGGATAGTAAGAGGGAAAGTGAGAGAGAGTACATCCCCATTCCACCACCATGTCTTGTGACACATACACACACACACACACACACACACACAGCCCTGCTGACAGACAGACACATATTTCAATAAAATCGTCCATTTCCCGTGTCTTTCAGCTGCGTTATTATGTGGCCACAGTGTGCACTCTGCAGCATTTTGTCAGTGTGTGTGTGTGTGCTGTTTGTGTGAGGTACATTACACCCCGAGGTCCTACCCATGCACCCCTGACACCTACAGACACAATTTAAATGCGCCATATATCACTGAATACAGCATATCAATCAGACGTAAATGGATGTGTTTCCCGCGGCACTGGGAACCTGGTAGTCTGGTTTTGGGAAGAACTGGAGCGGCCGCTCGGGTTTCAGCGACCGCCTGATTGGGTTCGGGCTGAAGAGGGAACACAGGCAAGGAACACCGAGCGAAAGCAGGGATTACAGCGAAATGCAGACCACATGGCACAAGCTTTTTCCCTCCTTCTGTCTCTATCAATATCATCCTGCCCCCCAGCCCCCACCCCCCACTCAAGCTTTCTCGCTCTTTCTCCTGCAATATCTTTGACTTGCGCCGGTTCCAGTCCGCTCTCCCTCTGCGTAAAAGCGTAACCCTAACCCCTGTTGGTCTGCGACGGTGAGGATCTGTCCTTCATTAAGCCACCATGATGGCCGGGATGAGGTGGGTGGTGGGGGCCACACTGATTGGGAAATGTCTGTGGGCTCGTGTGTGTGTGTGTGTGTGTGTGTGTATGTGTGTGTGTGTGTGTGTGCGCAGGCTGTCAGACAGCCAGATGTACAGTCAGACAGTCAGTTATTCAGTCAGTCAGAGAAGTCTAATGCCTTTTGTGGTTTGCTGCGGTTGTGGTGGAGACAAGAGGCTGACAGTGGGGTTTTACCACTTAGTGTGTGTGTGTGTGTGTGTGTGTGTGTGTTTGGTGTCGAAGTTAAAATGCAACAAATATGGGGTTATAAAAGCTGGTTCAAATATTTGTGGAATAAAAACTACTCATAGTTGGTATATCTTACATCAATATGTACAATTTTTAGGCCTGAAAATAACCCAAAAATGTATACTCCATATATACACACCTTTGATAGACATATTCTACACAGAAACAGTGTGTAGTCTACTAAAACCAACTGCTTCATCATCAGGTCCTTCTCATCTTAGGACTCATTTTAAAAGTGTTTAACAGTGAGTTTAGCCTATAGCGTAACTCATTTAGCCTACTGGATCAGGTTGCAGTTATGGCCAAATGTAGTAAAACCATAGACTGTATATCAGAAGTGGACGTAGTCATCGTGATGTCACCCACTGGTTTGTGGACTGACGTTTTGAAGCCTTCGCTGTCGTCCTCTTTTTTGCAGCCAATGAAAAGAAGTGACCATATTTGGAATACGGAGGAGCAACGTATAGATGCCGTATGAGGCTCTGGTAGTGGCAGCTACCTGTCAATCACAGTAGGCCCGCCCCTAAAGCATACCCTGCTTTATTGTCTATTTGACTCTAAAATAACCATCATTTACGAAATGAACATCATGCTGTATTGAAGAAGACTTGAAACTAGAGAGTGAGACCATAAACTCATGTTTACAATGTTTACTGAGGTAATAAATCAGGAGACTTCCATACAATCAGATATCGTTTTGCAACTGGAGGAGTCGCCCCCTGCTGGTCAGCAGAGAGAATGCACGTTTTAAGACACATTAACATTGGCTTCACTCGGCAGAACCGGAGGTTGCCGCCTAGCTAAACATTAAGAAGTTTTTCTTTGACAAATGTTTTCACAAGAAAAGGGAGAAGGTAGTACTAGGAATTACCCTTTTTATGACTTGTAGGCTACATATTATCCCTGTACACAGATAAGTGTTGAATTAATTAGCAATAAAATATAATCAGGTGTTTTGCTGCTGCAGCTGTACATAATCTGGTAAAACCAGCAGCTCATGGTGGCTAATGTTAGCTAACGTTAGCTAACTTTAGGTAGATTTTGCTGTGTAATTAACATCCCTCTGCCAGTTCATTGACTTTCCTCTATACTTGTGCTGCTATTATTATGACTATTATTCTGTAATCATGAAATTAGCGGCTTCATAAATGATATGTATTATTTATGAGGAGATTATAAAGAGATTACAAATCATTACAAGATCATTAACTGCAACCCCTCGACTCTGTCATGGACTCAACGCTACTCCCGAGCCGAGACGTTTAACCTGCGATGGTCTCAAGCATTACGCAAATGGGTTTCATCAAAGACTGCTGATATAACTTCTTTATAGGTAATGATGTTCTTTATTTATTCATCTTTCTTTTAGTAACATATTGTCTGTAAATGACAAAATTGTCATGAAGCCTTGAAGTTCCACTCTCTTGAAGATTTCTTTGCACAAATGATAGATAGATAGATGGATAGTTACTTTATTAATCCCGCAAGGGGACATTTTTTATGTTGGCAAACAACATAATAGTGAATACAATGTGATGTTTTGCCTAATTAGCATGTGTTATTCACAACCCACAGAAGCCGTGTACTTCTCTAACATACTTCCTGAAGGTATGAGAGGTAATTAGATAACGATGATGTGATTTCACCCTTTCACATAAATCTTCCAGCCAATTCTTCTCAGACAGGCAGCTAATAGTTCCAGTTACATCTCAGGTCCCTCTGAATACCCCAGGTTAAAGATTTTCTGATGCCGTCTCTCTCTCTCTCTCTCTCTCTCTCTCTCTCTCTCTCTCTCTCCGTCTGTCTGTCTGTCAGCGTGTGTCGTGAGTGTGAAGGGTTAACAGTGCAGGTTGGCTGGATATTAATGCCACTCGCTCAGAGAACCAGAAGGCTGGCTTTAGCCCAGGGTCCGGCCCTCCCAGGCCTCTCTCAAACTCCCAGATCTCTTCAGCATACTTCTCATATTAAAAGAAAACAAGTTACACAAATGAGACAGATGGTTCTTGTTTGTGATGACAGTTGCAATTCTTCCCCCCCCCCATCTCCCCCTCTCCCTCCTCCTTCGCTCTCGGCTTTTCCTCTGGTGTCTCCGCCGCTCTCTGTCCCCAGACGGCCACGTTGCGCAACACGAGCGAAGCGGCCGTGAGAGTCGGGACTCACGGGGCCACACTCTCCACATCGGACATGGCTAGGTTGGTAGTGCAGGGAACCGTCTATTTACTGACTGCTCTTTACCTTTACACTGCTTTGAAGTTTCGCATCCTTTCTACCCACAAGTGCACATTGAGTCAATCAAACGGTGGGCAAACTGGGACCTCCAGTGTTTTCGTTTTCATTCATTCTTTTTGAGGAAGGACATGAACCATTGACCTCCACCGCACCACCGTAGCTCGTGTTACGCAAAGGTAACTCGCTAACACTGTTTAGCTATATATGAACAGAATTTATGAGGGAAATTAAGCTACTGTAAGATATTTTCTTTTTAGCAAAATTCTCAAGTAAATTTGGAGCTCCGTCTGGTAAACAGGTAAACAGTTACGCGGTGTACACGTTTAGGGCTTTTATTGTGAAAAGGTCCGAGCAGAAGGAAGGGATCTGGCATGTGCCGCCTTTGTCAAGGTCAAGAGGAGTAATAAAGTTTGCAGTCTTGGTTCGAACTAAGGAGCCTCCATGTTGTTGCACAACATAGTGAACGCACAACATGATTGGTTGATGCCTTCATTCTCGGCGCCAAAGTCCAGAAAAATTAAACCTCGTTCCTAAAAAAAAACAAATTTCATTTGTAATAGTTCTGTGCAAACAAAAACAACAGTTCGGAAAAAATATATTGATGTGCAAATTAATCACACACACACACACCAGTGTGTAAAGGCCTTTATGTGGCCTTTATTTAGCAGAGGAGGCAAAGACGGTGATGGTCAAATCAGGTCACTGGCCAGTTTGGAGAAGCAGACAGGACCAGCCATAGACTGTATATAAGAAGTGGACATAGTCCGCGATTTTGTCACTATCTTGAACTACACCCGTAGCAGTTTTGTTGTTGTTTTGCAACCAATAAACGGAAGTTACCATATTTGGAATGCGGAGGAGTGACGTAGAGATGGAGTCGCCCCCTGCTGGTCAGTAGAGAGAATGCAGGTTTTAAGACACTTCCGCATCGACTTCAGTCTTCAGAACCGGAGATTGCCACCTGGTACCAGCACGGCAGCAAAGCAATGTACTGCTGTGGACGGAAGGGGATGGGGGGCAGCAAAACTGATTTTAGACATCATTTACAGTGAAATCTAACCAGGTCTGTCATTCACTTCTATCCAAACAAACTCACTGAGCTTGATCACAGCGGATTCCAAGCAGTCATCTTGAGGCAACATTGTATCCCAGCGCGGGCAGATCAGATAAGAACGGATCAGTCGGGAGGAGTGAAAGTGACAACACACACACACACACACACACACACACACACAGTGGATCAGGCTGTTGATGAGGGCTTTAGCTGCCACAGCTTCATCTCTGGATGCAGGTATGGAGGTGCACTGTGAGCTTACGTCTCCCCACACACACACACACATACACACATACACACACACTCTCCATCGATGATTATAGCCGTGTGTCTGTCATCGGGGAGATTTTGTCTGAACTGCAAAGAACTTTCCCTTAACACCTGGACACTAAACACCTGACAGTGTGTGTGTATGCGGGCCAAATGGGGTCGGAGCGTGTGTGTTCCGTGTATCTATTAGCCGACAGCAACCTGCCGTGTCAAAATAACCCTTGCAGTGACCAGCGGTGGCGTCGCTTGACGGTCGCCCGGTCGTCAGACATGTACTCGAAAAAGACGTCGCGATGAGTGCAATGCTTGTGCTTCTTTTAACAGCAGCAACACAATGCAACCACAACGACCGCACCAGAATGTGTTACATAAAAAAAGAAAAAGAAATTAGGAATGAAAAGTATGAAATAGAAGAATTACAGCATTAATAAACCAGATGCAAAATACCACTAGTTAAACATGAGAAAATAAATGAATATAAACAGTGCACTTGGATTGTAATTGGCCTCCTCGTCAGATTGGCATGTCCTGTCAGAAAGGGCCGTGGACCATTACCCCGAACTATCCCTTTGAAGCTCGGCGCATAAAAACCCAAAACGATCTGAACGGACTAAAACTAACTAAAAGCTGTACTTTCTGTGCTGCTTTTATCAGGAATAGTTCCAAACGCATGGACCTTTTATACAACTTGAATACGCATTGTGAGGTAAGAAGTAAGACAGCTAACCTTTCGGTTCATACTACAGCTGGGAGATAACTTCCCCCCACATGATTGGCAATTCTCTCTTACTCGCGCGCCCCCTCCTACCTGCTGGAGAGCGTTTAGACCAGGTAGACCGGCGCCAAGCCCCTCCAGCGCGGCCAACATCTACATGAGAACCACATTGTGCTCCGTGCGTTGGCAGGAGCTTTGGACACTGGAACGGGCAGAGACTGTCAAAGGTTCAGCTCAGACTCGAGATTTACTCTCCTGCGCACACATGGCGGCCCCGAGCCCTCGCACAGTGCACCTCTGAGACGTCTGAACACCGATTTACCGCTGGGCTCTGATAAACTGCTTAAATCCTCAGCGTGTTTTTCATCAGTCCAGTATCTGTACAGATCATCATCAAATCATCTCATAAAAGTGGGTGCACACAGTGTCTCTGTGTGTGTGTGTGTGTGTGTGTGTGTGTGTGTGTGTGCGCGCCCACACCGATATTTCAGCAGAGAGGAATGCCCTTCGTTCAGCCCGCGTGATAATTAATAGCTGTCAGCGTCTCTTTAGCGGAAGGAGGCGCTGACAGACAGCACTCCAGAAACGCGGAGAATGCGCGAACGCCTCACAGGGGTGGAGGAGGGAGCCGAGGGTTGGCGTGGAGAGGTACGATGCGGTGCAACAGCCCTCTGAGCCGTCCCGTGTCTGATGATCCAGGTCACCAAACCTGGGACGTGTCACCCTCATTTGCTGCCATCTGAGGAATTCCCGGATATCTGTGAAAGCTGTGTGAGAGCGATAGTGATCTCTCAACACCAACACTACAGCGATACACTGAGTGTGTGTGTGTGTGTGTGTGTGTGTGCGTGCATGGAAGACAAGGATAAGTATAACTGTGAGGCAAAACTAATTTAATTTGATCAACATACTAATAGAACAGCCTACTTTCAATGCTGTATTTTAAATGTGCTTCTGACATAAATTTCATATACAGTGATGACAGATTCAGAGCATTTTTACCGTCTTTCACGAAGAGATGGAAAATGTGTTTTTGACACGACCCAAAAACACATTGAGTTAAAACAATGTATGTATGGTCTCTCTGAATATACTGCATTCACCCTCTGTCTGAAACGCTCCTCTCTTTCAGCCCTCCTTTCGAAAAAGCCCCCCTGTGGCATTATGGGTAGAGCAGCTGACGTAGTATAACGTGCAAGACACACACAGGACTTTTGTCCAGGAGACTGCACTGGACACCAACGTCCAGTGCAAAACTAAAATGAAAGTTGTGGGTCGTTAGTAACATGAGTTGTTAGCGTAGTTAATCACGGGACTTGTTTGAGTTGTTAGTCCCCTGTTGGTCGTGTTTGTCAGTAAAGTTCACCTCCACCACGCTCATTTCCTAAACCTAAGGGATGGTGTTGCCTAAACCTTAGTTCCTGTGAAGGAAAAAGCACCATGCATGTAACTTGCATGCTTATATTGACAGCCCAAAGAAGTCCAAAACTGCATTATTTGATGCGTTGGTGTGAGAATGTGTTGTCTAATGAGTCTGCACGTGACATAAGACGGGTGAGCTGAATCTGAATGGCTTGTTGAATCACACAAAAAACTGACTGGATGTCGTCTTTCATAGTTTATGGGTTGGTAGGCACTTAAGATACCCAAATGTATGTATGTGCACACGCACTGAAAAAGGGGAGTTTTTCATGATATGTCCCCTTTAAGAAATGCTTATGTCTATTTTTTTATCTATTTTATTATTTTTTAGGATGAAATAATCTTGAATAACGGTGCACTTTTATTTTGAACTATAGGCTAAATGAGAAGAGTTGAAACCACGATGAGCATTCATGTTCTTGGTATATATTAGTGTTGAGCTCAAGTGATTGTTAGGACATAGGTGTTATGGGAATCCTCCCAGCATGCAACTTGGCTAACAGATTCATGGACATAGAGTAAGTCTAATTTGCTGTGTTCATGCATCGTTACTGCTGAAACGGTTAAATAACCATGAGCCTGCTAAAAAATTATGAAATCTGCTTTTAAAATGCTCTTCATGAGTTTCATCTTACCTCATAACTGTGAGCCATACTCACACCCAATCCACTCTATGCATACACTGCTGTTGTCAATACCTAAAATCAGTTTATACAGCAGGAATAAATGGAGTTCAGTGGATCGTGAATAGCATCAGTTTCTTCCAACTTTTGGAACCAACACCTGAGATGCTCACGTGTGGGCGGACGGCACCTCCTGCTGGCTGAACATGCCACGACCGGCTCATCCAGTCAAATGGCAGATTAAATGGATGTAGTGGTCCCCAATTTGCTCAATAAATATAGTTATATATAAATATGTGCTCTGGTAAGAAGCCGTTTTGTTTGAGGATTTTAAAAAAAGTACTTCTTTCCCTTGAAATTATTAAAATATAAGCTAACATACAGAAATTTTTTTTCCAGTCATGGTATTTAAAAACAATGTGGTGAACACAGAATGGCAAGGGACAAGTGGTAAAGGCAATTAAGGTATAAGTTTAATATTTTTTTTAAAGAATGCATATACAAAGAACAAAGACTTTCGACAGAGCATTTGGTTTTGCACCAAAACAACAACAGGTTATAATAATTATACTGACTTGGGCTGGAAATCGACCCAACTCTAAGCCACCAGTAAAGAAGAACAAGAACCAACCGATCACACGTCATCTCAACAGCCTCTGCCGTATCAACCAATCACAGCTTTTCCTTGGTATAAACTGGCAGGAAAGAGTTCAGAGGAGTTCCCACCCCTAAATGTAAAAGGAGTCAAAGTAACCTTTTTTTTTTTATATATTTATTTATATATATATATATAAAATAAAAAAAACAGCACGAACAAAAAATAATGAAGAAAAAAAAAAATTGTTTTGGTAAAAACACCTGGAGCCTACATCAACTTCGTGTGCCAGCTTACATTATAATTACATCTGTTCACCCTCATCACTTAGAACGGGGACCAAGGGCTCGGCTACATGCAGCACCGTGTGACCTTTGAACGGGTACAGCAGAGCGGACAGACACGCGGCCTGGAGGCACAGACCTCTGGTGGAAAGGCTGCCAGTGCACTCCAAGGGACTGTTTCTTGTTTTGTTGCATGGACGTCTCTGCTGTGCCTGTTCTAAGTGTGAGGGGATGAGAATGTTCAAACAGCATCCTGCTTCACCCGTCCATGGTCCCCCCCCCCCCCCCCCCGGCAACGCATCAAGAGCACACCGCTTGCTCTGCTAACACTGTTTAAGTTCCCTGCATCTAAAAAGGCCCAATTCCTTGCGGTCCACTGACCCGTTGCTACTGGACGCCTTTTAAGCTCTTCAAGTGGTTACCACGCTCCAAATGGACACTAGATGGCAATATCTACTCATTCAATTACCTCTGAGAGCTGTGTGGAGGTTTAGCCATATTGCTGAGTCCTGTCAGACCTAGTCTCCATAGTGGTTAGGAGCGCATCTATCTGGAACATGGAATAAATATCTCAGACATGTCATGTGTTTGAGGAGAAAAAGAAAGGGGGGGAGGGGGGTAACAAACGCTACTTTTGTTAGCATTTCTTCGGGTAGCGCTGAGAAAGAAACGTAAGGATCGGCTGACGAGTGTTGTCGTCAACGGAGGAGGGGGGGGGCGTCAAGCGTGAGCAGCCACTGGGCGGGCAGCTGAGGGGGTCTGGGGGGGCTGGGCTTATATCCATGGGCATCTAAAAAGTTGTTCGGGCCACAACACTGACGGAAAGCTGGACAGAGTGAATTCTACTTGTGTGTGAGCTCTGTATCCGGACCCCTCGTCCTCAGGGCCCCCCGCAGCCTGGTCGGTCACAAGGGGCTGAAGCTTCTTATTATTGCAGAGAATTATGGGAAATTTTCCTTCTTTCTAGTCCTCTCTGTGGAGGGCAATGCCAACAACCAACCGCAGCAGAGCGAGGGGAAAGGAGGGGGTGTGGCTGCAGGGGGAGGGTGTGTGTGTGTGTGTGTATTTAAGATGTATGTATGTATGTATGTATGTGTGTGTGTGCGCTTCGAAAAGGGAGGAGCCTCTCATAGCAGCACACATTTGCGTTTCTTCTTGGGCTCTGGGGGCTCCAGTGCAGCCAATATCGCCTCATCAAACACATTCTTTAGGCCTTTCTGTGGACACAAACACACAAGCACAGGCTCAATTGAAGGGACAACACACACACACACACACACACACACACACACACACACACACACACAGGTCAAACAAAAAGGTAGAGCGAGGGGGGAGATAAACAATAAACAATAACAGCTTAAACAGAGGGAAAATAACTGGATGAGAACAAAAGTAAGTAGCGAGTCATAAGACAGTGGAGAAAATGTGCAGTTGGGGACAACAAAAATTCAACAAATATGTAAAATATTTCAAATCAGACATGTGACATCTGAAACCAAAAGGCAAGAAAACAAGAACGTGGAGGAAAAAGGGAGCGTGACCCCCCCCCCCAACAACAACACAAAAGCAAAATGGAAAAGTGAGCATTTTCACACCACGCCGACCTGTTTGTCTTTGACTTCCCAGCCTCTGCTCATCCAGATCCCAAATATGTAAAACAAAAATCACCACAACTTAGGTGTTCTCTCAGAGGTGAATGTGTTCTCTCTCTGAGCAGAGCTGCTTACAGCATGAGCTTGGTCATGTGAAGTAACCAGAGCTGCACTGTGCAGTGAACCAGTGAACCCCTCGGTGCTGTTTAACTCACTCTATTAAAGCGACTACATTCTGTGACAAAGCACTGGAAAAAGAAAGAGAGCGAGAGAGGAGAGCAAGTTCACTTGTCCTTTATTCATTCACTTCACAGGTAATTTCACACAAATATAGCTTCTTTTTTTTTTATTATTATCTGGACTTTCAAGACAGCAGGATGTGCACCACAAGTAATGGCTCGTGTGTCATATGTAAAGAACATTCGGGCCAAACAAGTCTGGAAGAAAGCGTTTTTCAGGAGATATGTGTAGCTTAGCTATGAACCAGAGCAATAAGACGGGACTATCATGTAGCAAACAGGGATGACGTCATTAAGTGCAAAACCATCCGGGGTGAAAAAAGGCGAGTCAGACGCCAAACACCCTCAGTTTAAAATGTCCATTCACACTGGATTTTAGCATGAGGATACTGTAACAGTCACATTCCACAGTACTCCCATTTTACAGTAAAAAACTGTTAATGGAGATTACAGTCTGAACACCGAGTATGATGGCAACCAAACAGCTGACAGTATCATACTGTAAAGCACAGTACTGTAATACTTTTTACAGTAATACACTGCTGTTGTAGATTACAGTAGCTACACTGTAGAATAACAGCTTCAGACTGTTGCAGCCAGTAGTTTACTGTAATTTAACAGCACCCTGTTAGTGGGGATGTTGTCAAGATGGCCAAACACTTCCTATATATGACTCACGTACATGAAAGTATGAAACCATAGTCACAATTCCCAAGTTCTGTGTAATCAGGGTACAACAGTATCAACAGTAATACAAACTATACATTAAAATGGAAGCTCTGTTTAGTGTTGGAATCAACCTCAGTGAGGAGCCAAACCCTCCCCGCATGAACTACTACTACAATACAGAGGGGAACGGCTGACTAAAACAATGGCCACATCCCAAATGACATCCTACATCCTCAGTGACACACCGCTTTACTGTTGGCCAGGGGCCAATTAATAAGCACGGGGCCCAAGGAGCAGAACTAGGAATAATACAGCGGTGAAGTTAGGGCTGGGTAGCTGGGTACTTTCAGGCTATGCATCAATATATGATATCTATCTCAATATTTTCATATTTTCTCTAAAATAACTGTTTGGTGGACCTACTGACGGACTTATTGAGTGAATGGGACATTGCATCCACTCAAAGGTCGCTTACATCTTGAAATCAGTTCTTAAACCGAGAAGCTTAACGCCAACGCAAGTTTAAAGCCGGCAGCTTAAAAATATTACGGGACAATTTGTAGTCGATGTTTGCAATCAAATCATTTACTACATCCCACGTAGAACAGGTCGCCATGCATCGAGTATATTCGATACATTGCTCACCTCTAGGTGAAGATTCATGATGTAAAACAAAGTCGGCCTAAATCCCTCCAGAGGTAAGACGTGACATACAATAGCACACCAAGCAGACCAAATGTCAGCAGTTGCAGGTGAGAAAAGGCAACAAGTGAAGTCATTGAAGTGATGAGGGGCCACGAGTCAGAGAATCAGCACATGAGAAGTTGTAGTGCACTCTCAATACAGAGCAGGGGTTAGATGAGCTGGGATTGGTCCACATTGCAAAAGCAGCACATGTAAATACATTGAGAGAGGAAAGGAGGGAGAGGAGGTGAATGAATGGAAAATGCCAAAAATAGTGGCGATCGGAGGAGGAGATGAGAGTGGTGGCACAGAGGAGGGTTAAAATATACAGCAATTCCCCTTTCTCTGCGTCTCAGGAGGCTCGAGGGCAGCTAGGATAGCTTCATCAAACACATTCTTCAGCCCTCGCTACAGCGGGAGGAGAGGGAAGAGAACAACAGCACAGTTAGCCCAGAAACACAGAGAGAGGAGGAGGAGGAGGAGGAGGAGGAGGAGGAGAAGGAGGAGAGGAACGTGGCAGAGCGAGGAGGAAAGTGTTTGTGTGAAATGCAGCGAGACGGTACGAGAGTCACAGGACGAGACGGCGGCGAGCTGATGAGCGTTCAAAGAGAGGCAGAGAGTCGCTGAACGGCGGGGCTATGGACAGAGTGCCGAGATCCCTCACGGGAAACAGGAAATGACATCAGCAGCTATGCAACAGTTGTGCCAGGGAGGGAAGGAGGAAGGAAGGGGCGGAGCAGAGGGGTGGGGGCTCCACCTCGATCCCATTAACACTATTGTTCTGTGCTCACTTCCCTCCTCCTGTTTCCAACAGACATGTTCTCCATTGAGCAGATAAACGCAGGAAAGCACCGACTGATTTATCAATCAGACAATCCAACACAAGTACTACGTACCACAATGCTAATGGTACTAATGGTAATTGATGTCGTCTACTCTTGGACTTAAACATTTCCACTAATAGCATAGAATTCATTAGATCTAGTCACACTTTGAAATGACTTCATATTGTAAACACTGTGAGCAGAAATTCATTTGCAAATCTCAGCCAACCGATTATGGAAACTGTATCTGACGGCTTTATTTGGTACTAAAATCAGTTACGTGCACCGTGCATGTGGAGCTCAGGGTAACCTGAACAGCTCCATCTTTTACATTCAGTATAACTGTTAGACCTGTGTAAGATAGACAGATCGTTTGTTTTCATGGACGGCTGAATGGTGCGTCACTTTAAATGTTGTCGCCGCAAGGAATTGTGGGGCGGCATTATCTTCTTTCCTTTGGTAAAGGAAGGTCCAGTGTTTCCTATGCTAAAGGAGCTAATAAAGGAAGCATTGAAGCACCTTTCCTTAACATTCAGAGAACTCAAACAGCTCTGATCATGGCGGCCACTTAGACACTTCTGGTCATTTCACTGAGTGAGGAACCTTCCAAAGCAAAAAGGACTTTTCCACTGCAGCCCAGGTGTAGGGAGCAGATCCCAGGACAGGGCCCACGGCCCACATCTACTGGCAGATTTCGAGGAAAAAAGTCAAAAAAAGAGACCAGATCAGGGTCACTCCCACTGGACCTTTGTTTTGGAGAGGTTTGTAGATCACACGTGGACTGACACTTCCTCACAAGAAACCCTACGATACTCCACTCTGAAGTTACAGATTCTACCACACACTCAACACACAGAAACCAGGAAGCACTCCGGTCTGAAAAAGCTCTTAACCATACGAAAAACATCTGGTGATCTATAATTAGCAACATCCTCTAGAACTAATCCAGCATGCACAGGCCTGGGGGACAATGTTCCTCTTTCCTCCTTTTCTTAGTTCTTGCCTTTGAGACGTGAATCGTGTGTATCCATGAGTGAGTGTATATACATGTATATATATATATATATGTGTGTATGTGTGTGTGAGACAGTATATATTCATATACATTACCTGTGTGAGGGCTGAACACTCCACGTATTTCACAGCCTTTAGGTCTCTCGCCAGCTTCTCGGCCGTCTCCGGAGTGATGGGCTTCTGCTTGTTCTTGGCCAGCTTCTCTATAGTGGACGGGTCATCCCGCAAGTCGATCTGAGTCCCAACTAGCAGGAATGGGGTCTTTGGACAATGGTGGGTAATCTCTGGAACCCACTGGACACACAAAAGACAGGGTCACGGGACGGCCGACACGCTGCGTCTCAATCATTGAACATCGGGCTTTTCATTAGTGAGCTTTCCTCCACACCGACTCAGGTTTGATCAGCCGTCAGTGGAGGTCACAATGTTCAGATCCAACACAAAAATAGTCTTTCTGAAATGATTAGAAACTACAGCTCTGTTCAAATATCCATTTCATTGTTAATATTAACGTTAATGTTCTTGAAGTGTGCGCCGTGCAGCTACGTTATCTAGAAGAATAGAAGCTTCTGTACGTCACAACATAGTGGGGAAAAGACCAGTGGCATGAGAATGAAGCATGGAGGGTTTGACTTGCCTTTTCTTTGACGTTTTCAAAGGAGGAGGGGGACACGACGGAGAAACAGACGAGGAACACGTCTGTCTGGGGATAACTCAGAGGGCGTAACCTGTCGTAGTCTTCCTGACCTAGAGACACCACATACACACACGTTTACCTCTCACTGTCTGGCCGTCATGTGGATTATAATCATCATCGTTACAGAACAAAGCGGGGGAACTCTGCTGGCAGAGTGATGCACAGCACCAGAACCACAAGGCACCTTCAGTCTTAAGTAAAACTGAAGGTGTGGGGTGGGGGGGGGCTGATTCTCTTCTTTTGCCATCACAATATATATATATTTATCCAACCAATGTGTTTATGACTGAAGTGTTTACTACCCCAGAGTAACACTGTGGGTAGTAAACACTTCAGTAATATTTAGGCTATATACTACTTAACAATAACAATCTTGGTAGCCTTACTAGTAACTGACATTGTCAAATAAATGTAGTGAAGTCAAAAGAACAATATTTCTCTCTGAGATGTAGTGGACTAGAAGTATAAAGTTACATAAAATGGAAATACCCACATAAAGTACAAGTATCTCAGAATTGCATTAAAGTACAGTACTTGAGTATCCTAAATGTACTTAGTTACATCCCACCACTGCTACAAAAAGAGCTACATTGTTCACAATGATCACATGAGTCTTCATAGATCTAGTCTCTTCATTTTGCTCTCAAAGTGATTCATTTAACTTTAAAATACTATTGTGTTTTTCACCCCGTGAGAGGGTTCGAGGTCCACATGCAGAGTCTCACATAATCCTGAACACACACCCTACGCCCACAAGAGATACATTGTGGATGGATGATAAAGGAAGAGCATTTTTTCCATGATTTCCATTCAAAGTCACATAAACACTTGACAGTAAATGTATATAATCATGACAATGTCTTGTTAGGAAACAGTTCCATGAAGTGGATGAACAGAACTGTTGGAAGAAGAAAGACATACCTGCTGTATCAAACAAGCCCAGAGTGTAGGGCTCTCCTCCGATCATTACAGTTACAGCATAGTTATCAAACACCTGCAACAGACCAAAAACAGTGAATGATGTATACATCTTACTCCCACAAGGGAGGACAGATAAGGTGTTGTTAAAATGTGCATATTCAATACATTTCAAACTGACTCAGGTTCTAGGTGATACGGCACAAAGCTGTCTAAGATTTGATCACACAGCAGGAGGTCAACCATGGTTAAGCAACACAAATCTTAAATATTAGTGAATTGTGCAGCAAGCTAACAGCCAGAAACATTAACAATATGAAATGGACTTACTGCTGAATTAATTTGATCACATGACAAACAGAGCTACACAGGTAGAGCATAGGAATCCCCACTCACCGTAGGAACGTATTCAGAGGGGAACTTGTTTGTGGTGTAGGAGATGAGCAGGCAGGTTTTACCCACCGCACCGTCCCCAACGACAACACACTTGATGGTCTGCATAGCTGCGTTTAACAGTCGTCGCTGCTCATTCAAGATGTGGGAGAGAAAAACAGAGGGAAACTTCATTAGTCGATGGCACTGCTTATTGCATTTAACATGTTCTCTGTTTCCTGCCCAGGCACCACGGATGTGACTTAGCTTATAGCTAACTGTGGTACCGCTAACAAGCTGCGCACTGGCCCTGTTGAATGGATGAGTTGGCTTTGCTAACTGTAAAGTCAGCCCGACCGAAGGTAAAAAAAACTATTTGAAGTCAGTTTAGCTGTAGAAGCGTTGCAAACCATGTTGATTTATTTTGGGGGGGACATTAAGCAGCTGCGTTGGACAGCATGGACATGTTATGTCAACAGGACATACAGGGGGGGGAACCAATAATCTGGGGGAGACCTTGGAAAGCACAACACCAGATGGCATTTTCATTAATGTCAATGGCAAACTGTTGGTAAAAGCACTTTTCGATAAAATTGTAGCCCGGCCTAAATCTGAAAATTGAGGGGACCCAAGTCCAAGACCCTGGGGAGATAACCCCGTCCAGTCACAGATCAATAACCTAACCTCTAGTCAATGGTAGTGTCCAGATGTCCAAATGAGGTTTTATAATTTAGGAGACTGAAGGATGATGTAGACCCACAGCTGGAGAAATGACACTGTAGAAATATGCTTCACACAATGCCATTAAACATCCTGTGGCTGTGCTAGCGTAGAATTATGGAAGAACACCAGATTAGGGTTTGACTCCTTTCCACTCAATTTTCCAAGAAACAGAGTGGAAATCAAATCATACTGGTGTTAGTCTGACTCTAGTATTGAAAGGTGTCATGGAACAACAGATTAGGGCCATCATGAAAGGACGTTGGAATATTCGTTGTTAAACACATAGAAATTCAAACTATTCAAATATCTATCGTTGCGCATTTTGTCCTTGACACCGTTTGCTAACTGGCCACAGCGCTCCACTTTGAGCTGAACTTTTAAACTTATCAATACGATACCTCCTCATTTCACAACACTTATCCAAATGAGGTGGCAGCTGGCTGCAGGGAGATCACAAGGAGATCGCCCCAAAGCTTCCTACTTGCTGTTGGCTGTATCATATGTCATTTCTGATAAATATCACAATATAAATCAGGATTTTCACTAGTGCATACAATGACCTGCTGGGGGAAAATAGTGGCGACTAGTGGAGACTCCTAATTCTCTAGGTTGGTGCTTAGCTAGCGTTATCTAGAGAACAGCTGATAATGCTAGCAAGCTACGGTCACTTAACGGTACTAAACAGACAGGTTGGGTTGCCCCCGGCCGCCAACCACAAAACAGACATACAGTGGGGGATAAAAGCAGTCGTCCTGCCGACTCTTTACTTCTCACACACCAACAAGCAGCGAGTGACAGTCAAGCTTTCGTACAATAAGCTCCGCTTCATTGGATGCAAGGCACCTTACATCAACAGGGCAGAAGCAAGTTGCTATAAAAAACCAGTAAGAAAGTAGGAAATGCTTGAATGTCCGGCCATCCAGCAGACAGCTCTGATAGTGTTCTGTTTGAAATATTGACAGGCCAACCACAGATCATAGGATCCTCTGCTAATATTTTACTGGATTTTATATTTACAAATAACAATGCATTAAAAATAGGGTCACAACTTGTCAATATGTTCACGATTAAGTTCAATGCTGCTGAGGTGGCAAAAAGCTCACAGAGTTGAACCAGACACACAATGCAGTTCACAAGTGAAGCTGCTTCACTGCTCAGCTCTCTACTGAGCAGCAGACCAGTGAGCCCAGTGACTAAAGACATGGCTGGAACTGGAATCTGAGCACTTAGTAGCACACAGAGAAACTACTCTAAAAGTAACTGTGAACTCAAGGCCTTCGTCAGAATCCTAACAGCAACATGGTCGTTTTTTTAAGTTTGCCCTTCACTTGCACCCTAACAAGTACCTTCCCTACAAGAAACCATAACAGGCCTTTTTCACACCACACAGTTTGACTTATCATGGTATGAAAAGCACAGGTGTTACTAATGACATTAACGATGGCTTTGTTCTATTCCCGTGTTCCAGAAAGCCATGACAGTGTGACAGTGAGCCGGCAAGAACCGTACTAAGGATCCCCGAAAACTAAAGCAGCTACATAGAATTCAGTTAAAGCATCAAACCAGCTGCTTATCTTTTTAATAATAGTACATTGATTGTTTTTAAGTTTTGCACTGCTGGACAGAAAAACTGATCATCTGAAAATCAGTTGGAAACAGCCATTTTTCACCATTTATAAATAATGATTAATTGAGAAAATAATCTGCATATTACTTGATGATGAAAATCTTTAGTTGCAGCCTGCATTCATGCACTTGTCCCATGTTAAAAACCCTTCAATAAAAAAGGCCAACAAGACCAGAGAAACAACAAACAATAAAAGTTGAGCGTGGGTCATTGTCTGTAACAATGTGATGCATCGTGGAGCATTGTGCATTTAGAGACAACGCGCTATATGTAGTATGTGGAGCACAGCATTCCCCTGTTCCTCCTCCACACGGTACAGTATGTCAGTGCCAAGCCACTGCAGAGCTCTGCACCACGGGGCGGGGCGGGGACGCGTCCGTCACTGAATGCAAATTGTATTTAATTCTTCTTCTCCTGTTGTGGAGTAATCTGATTAGTCCCAGTATGTTCCTGGTGGGAGCTGGGACAGGAAGCAGAGGGGCATTTCTTACGACCTACTTCAAACAGCTCTTTTCTTAAATAAGGTCAAAACTCCAGACTTCTGTCAAAAGTGTCCAATGTTGCTGACCGCTAACAACAAACTATTTCCCCCAATAAATGTTTTCTGTATTAACCGCAGGGCAAAAATGAAATCATAACAAGAAACACCTGGTCAAGAAGTACAACGTTTTCCTGTACCAGACATTGTGGTGGAGTACTAAACAAAAAAATGGGATTAAAGCGTAGAGCTGCTTCTGGTAATGGCCACCTAATAGATTACGCTCGTGCGGGCGGCCCAGACGGAGGCGCAGACCCAACAGCTTGCAACCTTGAGTAAAGGCCCGTTTCTTTAATGCTTCAGAGAGGTTTCCACCTCTGTAGACTAAACTGGGCAGCGACGAAGGGAAAATATACATGTGAAAAGGTTACAGCCCGCCACTAGACACAATTAATAAAACAGGGCATTTGCACAGCAGACTTTGATATGAAGACAAGCTCACCACGTGAAGTCCAAAATCCTCTATGTGCAAAGAATGAAGACACAGGATGTGTAATATCGCTGGGTTCATCTGTCTGTTACAGTCGAGGCTTTGTTTGCTTCCAGACAGTAAGCCGTTACGCGTAACTTCTAGAACCGTGTTCAAAATATGACGGGCCGGTGCGATTGCTGATGTGTGATTATAATGGGACATTCTGTAGGACAAGTGGAGCTGTGGAGGTCCCTTTGCAGGCGTTCAGACTCCACTACTGCCGAGAACCCTTGAACCTTTTCAAACTGGGAACAGGGCAACAGACAGCGACCAAAGTGAGAACTTGAGTTACAATTTCACCTGGTCGCATTCACGCGAGTGCATGATGATGACAATTATTGATGATCGTTGATAACCCATGCAGCAGCATAGATATCGCCTGCTGTCTGTTATAGCCTCAACTCCTTTCTTGGCTGATTCCAATTTTTTTTTTTTGTATTCTGAATTGTGGACTTTGGTCCATTGTGATTTTCTTTCTAAGAACGATAATTGACAACACAGCTCCAGACTGACTTCCTTTTCCCCATCCTCCCAGAACCGTCCTGAAAAATAATTATAACCGTCCCGAAGTCCATGTACAATGTTAACTTATTGTCATCTATAGTGGTTATTTGAATAACGCACACAATTTGAATGATAAGTAAATAAATGATTATACTTGCTTTGATTTTCAAATCGAGTAGTTTTAATTGTATATTGTAAGCTGCTTAGAGCTCATCAAGTTAAACAGGTCATCAGTCCTTTCTAATATCTTGTTTGTATTGCTTTGAAAACATATCCTTCAAATAACTATATGTATTCAAGTTTCTCGCCAAAAAAAAACAACTTTATGAGATTACATTTAAAGACGTCATGATGGCATTATAATAATAAAGTAACTTTTTTTCAAATCACATATCAAATCGCAATCTTTGTCTAAATAAAGAGGATAATTTTCATACATCATTCACCCTTGTAGACATTACTTCTACTGGATTGTTGCAGCGTCTGAATGAAGAGGTGGGAAAATGCAGTAAACTTCCAACAAGCAAGAGAAGTTTGCAATTACAAAGAATGCATCCAAATTGTCTAGATGCAAAGCAGCCATATTAAGTGTTGTTTTAATCACCTAACTTTAGATGGGCCCTTACTGGGTTGGGTAGTCAGATGATCTTCAACTTTCCAACATACAAAAAATTAATAATCAAAGAAAAGCTGTGCAAACCAATTGTTCGGCAAGGAAAAGCCCTGCCATTGTCTGGAGGAATCCTTTTACCACAGTATCACTGCCTGGTGATGGCCGTTACATCCACACAACAGTGTGTGAACAGAAGTATCGCACTGACCTGCAGGGCTCGTCTATTTCATGGAGCAATATGTGACCGAGGGAAGCGTAGAACTTCTTCTAATGGGAGTAGTTCTGAATCATTTGACAAACTCTTAAACCAAACACCCCAGGAAGACGATGGCAGAGGGCAACACAGGGCGACTGGCTGCAGCTGCAATAATGCTTCGAGACTTAATCCACGCGTTTGTAGGCCAGCGAGCACTCTGAGGGGCAGGCCAGCCTGAAGAGTAGTAGTGAAAGCAGCTGACATTCACAACATCATAAACTACTAAGATCAACTCTGTGAACTAAACACGGCGTCTAACGAGAAGTTTTGCAAGACTCCGATAAGCTCACGAGACCTGACCGGTGTGCATTTCTACTGTGAATGGAATAGCATTACTCCTACCAGCCAGAGAAACACACATCACTGCATCCTCACAGCTTCATGGGGGCAGGTCGTAATTTATTAAACCTTTCCTCAATAGTTGGTCAAGCTTCCTGCTAAGTTCATCTGAAACAAAGATTTCAGCCGTAAAGAGGAGAATGCTGGTACATGTGGCCGTTTGATACTTGACACACGCAGACTCCAAGTCAAAGTGATAAATCCCAAGCAATGTATATTAATTTTCTATTGCATTAGTGTCCTCGTATTTCATGACACGTCTCAGTATGCAACTACGAGATCAAGCTGTATGTGTAACGTTAATGAAACATTACATAACAGGAACGTTTTGAGATCGAACCGGAGAGACTGCTATTGCTAACAGCTCCCGGCAGAGCGGCTATATTTTGGCCGCATCCTCGGCCTCAATCTGGCCTCATTTCCTGCCGGTTGTTTAAACGAACTCACGTAGCGGTCCCCCTTTTTTTACCCAGTCAATACTGTAAACCTTTGCCCTAGCACACCAACATTAACGTTACAATATGCAACTGTTTTATAATCCGACACCATGCTTAGAATAAAAAAGTAACATCACGGAGCGTTTGTTACGCCCGTTTCATTCAGCTCGTTAACCAGCTAGCCGCTAGTTAGTAACCAGTTACATCTTTTGCAATTTACTGCTTTAGCGTTAATATTAGGCAAAGGGATAAAACATTCTCACAACGCTTAAATCGACAATACATTAGAAGTGAAATATTGCTGTCACACAGCCCGGAGAGGTTTATTTTAAATCCTAATGTTTAGACTGCCTGCTTGCTTTGCTAACTAACGGACTGTCTTCTTCAATTAGCTCGCCAAGCTAACAGGCTGAGCTAACCTTAGCGGCTGCTGTTGTTGAATGAGCTATTATAATTCGAAAGTCACAACTCATGTACAACAGATGCACAACATAGAGGACGTTGACAGCATTTAACATAAAAACAAACTAGATATAGCCCAATAGCAATAAGAAAATATTTTTTCCGTACCGTATCCTCTATTTGTGTCTTTACGCCGGGCGTTGGCAGCTCCGCGCTAGGGGCTTCCCAGTCAACAGTACAGGGACACGTTGCGTGCGTAGTGCTGTACTACGTCATTACGTTAATCGATTGGGGTACAATCGGCCTACTTTTCTATAGCAATAAAGAAACAAGCAAGTAGCATAAATGTTTTATGTCTGTGGCCCAAGATAGAAGAATACAGGTCTTTTGTGGTAGTTATCTAAAACTACATTTCAACTTGTGGAAAAAACTAACTACAGCTAAATAGTGCAGTTTGGGGAAATAGCTTTTGATGTGACAAAGTTACCCTCACCTTGCATGCAGAATAACACTCAAGCAATACGACCCCATCTCTCTTTATCTTATTTTAGTCATTTCAAGCTTGGCAAATCTAACACATCCCAAAATGTCTCAATGAACAATTTAGACATGCTTGATTTTTGCTCTACTAGATTTGTTGAATTTAATTCATAAAGCAATCTTTAAGTCATTTTACACTGTATCAAAAAGTATTATACTCCTTACCTCAGTTTCATTACACAAAATGTAAAAACTATAGAAGGTCCTACAAAAAAAAAAAAAAAAAAAGTCTTATCCATTTTCTTTCAAGTAAAAGTGCTTCAGTTTATATTGCATTTGGAGCTGTATGAGTTTGACCTACATAAACACATTGCAATAGTGCTTTCTGCCACTAGGGGGCACAGTAGCCAAATGATATGCACGCAAACAATAGTGATATTATTCACATTTAGTGAAATAAGTCAAAATACAAACAGCTGTAGGAAAAAAAAAAAAAGATTTATTCTCAAAACCACGTGTTAGAAATAAACACGTACAATATTCATGTTGTATAAACAAACATACTCAACACCAATTTGCAAAAACAAAACAAGGCGGTTAACATTTCTTTCCAAGAAAGGTAAGATGTGTAGGTGTCGCCGCTGTCCTAGACGGTCACACTCTGCAGCAAGGTAATGTTGTCTCCTTTCAACATGACCCTCCCTGGGAGACACGAGGGGAACAAATAAGAGTGGAGGCGGATCAGAAGAGCGAGATGACGGATGTTAAGAGATACAAAGAGTCACTTCACTTTAGGACAAAGCACTGAGCGCCCATCAAGTGTGCACAGACGACAGGGAACCGAGTGTCAGTAGAATGTTTCGTCTTCTTACAGCTCAGCTGTGTTCAGGAGGTAACGTACAAGCCAAAAAAGGGGCTTCAAGAAACAATATGCCAGGCTTTATCAACCACCATCTATAGGCACTTTCAGCAACATAAAAAACACTTTCTACTTCCTGGGAGACAGGGTATTGCTTGTTTTGGTTTGATAAGATGTCATTAGTTCATTCCCAAATTTATCTACAGTGGTTTTAATAAACCCATAGTCAGCTTGTGTGTTTTGCTTACTCTGAAACAGTGCCAGCACTGCAAAGTTTTGGGATGACAATCTTTTTTTTTTTTTTTTTTTAAATTGTGATTTGGGGTGGCACGATACATATGTTTTCAGTTTAATTCATTGTCTCCACAGCAGATATTTTGACTTGTCATAACAGCAAACGCACAGGTGTAACAGATTGCACACACAACACACACTGGAACCGGCTCACCTAAATGGAATGCAGATGTTTAATGTTGAAAAATCACACCCGTGACAGTGTCAAGTGTGCAGACATTCACGTGTACAAATCAGTGCTAAACACAGGGACAAAGCTACAAAACATATCAAAATGTATTTATTACCCAGCGGCTTCCTGTTCTTGGTCTTCATGTGGACCTCCTCGGCATCATCTAGGACCAGGTTCATGTACTCATCAAAACCCTTAAGACAGAGAGGGAACCGTTATGCATGAACATTTTCAGATTCTTATCCTAAATCCCTCATATTTGTCCATGAGGCTTGATCGCATTACATTCAACAACTGCACAAATTCGTCGTAAATTGCTTGTTTCAACTTTATGAACCACCGGTTCGGGATGTTTGCGTTTATGAGATTTGAACATCAGCATTATGTACATAGTTCCACTTAGTTTGTGGGCAGATGTCATTCATAAACATTAACCCTGTGAGTAAAAACAAGTCATGTTGTATGACATCTGCAGATGTCATACATAGAAATGTGTACAAAAGAACAAATCTATCAGGCGGACCATAACCCTAACCATGGGAGGCAGTTAAATGCATCCAGTTTTTGTCAATTCTTCTTTATGATATTACTGAATAAATCCCCCCCCCCCCCCCTTACCACATTTGCCTGTGATTAAAAAAAGTATCCTTTCAATCATAAAAGTGTACATTTGTAGTTAGTTGTTGAGTAAGTATTGATAGTAAGTGTTATACACAGCGCCCCGGTGTTTACAGCGATGAGAGTTTGAACAGTCTGAACCAGGCTACGGTTAGTGCACGGCGGATTCCCTGGTGTAAACATCCGTTTGCCAGCTCTGATAAAGACAAAGCTAAAGCAAATTATTAAAACGAGAAGGGTAAGAAGTTATACTTTAGTTTTACACCGTTAATTTAACTGTAAACATTACATGATTGTATATACTAACAGAATGTTAGAGAAAATGTGTCAGGCAGTGGACAGTTACACCAGAGAAGTGGTTAGGCCACCATGTCACCACCACCACCTGCATGTAGCTTATTGCCAATAGACAGGGTTTTAGTGGTAAAAACAGGTCCAACAGAGAGACTTCTTCTCTAGTAGAACAAATAACTTGTGGACTCTAGTCCGAGTCTGATCATTGGTTGTTTTTCTTGTGTTTTTTGCATCTTGATGTTGATTATGTTAATCACCCTTTAACAACTTTCTCAGATTCTTCAACTTTAGTGTAGAATGTCCTCCAGACCCTTCAGCCTACTTACTGATCATATTCAACGACTACACTACATAGTCCATCAGCCATGCATTAATGAATTGACTGTGGGAATGAAGTTTTCCTTCACGTTGTACTACAGTTTGATGAAAATAGAAGAGAGCAAAAGGATAACTTACAATGATGCAGCCCTCTATCCGCATGTTCACCTGTTCATACAACCAGACCTGGATCCGTGAGCGCTGGGAATGAGAGATGAGAATTCCATTTTAACCATAAATCATACAACACAAATCAGAATAAACTGTGGGGGGAATAAAAGTTTAACTAAATACTTACATTTTGTAGATACCTGAAAATTAGGTTCTGATACTTGGAGTCAAGGAAATTCAAGTTTATAGAGCAAACACACGCACGAGATAAACATGTTCACCATAAAGAGTGATTGCACATAACGTTAAAAGGCTTCCGATGACTTTTCAGACTTCTCCAGGCTGCAGCACGTTTAACATTAGAAAAACTGTGCTGAACCAGTCAATGTAATAAAACAACTTACTGACGCCACTTCACCTAAAACATATTTTTCATTAGATATCGAACCACTAATCCAAGCAACAATTCCTTTGTACATCAGAAAGCCTCACAGTAGAACACCGGAATAGTTGAATGCTGTTTGGCGTGCTATGGGTAACGTTTAGCAACATAGCTTAGAGCGGCTATGTTTACTAACTGGTTATTTGAATGAATGCACTTCAAAAAACCATAATTAATTCCCACGGTGTTTTAAACTAATAACATGTTTTCAATAAGTCGTTATCTAATCACATAGCTCTGCTAAAACTCGCTCCTCGTTCACAACACGGGAAATTAATGACTAGCTAGCAAGCTAATGAGAACGGTTAGCCTAGCTGCTAAGCTACTGTAGCAAGATTTAACCGCGTCTTTAACACAAAAGGATACGATGGGCTGCACCATAACCTTCTGGACCTTCTGTCCTTGTCCTCTGTACGCCATTCTTCCAAGAAAATACCAGCGGTAGGTATTTATTTAAAAAATTGCACCGTTTTATTAGCGTGCACGTCAACGACACACTCACGTTGTGAGGTTGCTTTGCTATAATGGCGGTTATCTTCCGCGTGCTGGTGCCGGTTATAATAAAGACGTCGCATGGTTTGTAACAGCGCCCCTGCGGTAGGAGGTCACTACTGCACCGACGTGTTGCTCCACAGACAGGCATTTACATGTTTGCACGTGCATACAGACAGTATTAACGTGTGCACGCGCATACATTTACTTTGGAAAGCTATTGACAAAAAATGGAAAAAATGATCTATTCACAACGCATGATATAATAGCTACTGCAATAGATACTGCAAATATATGTATTTATATATATACATATATATTTTTTTCTTTTTGTTGTCATTTACATGACTTCAAAAACAAATGTTGGTAATCGTAAGCATTGAGAGCAGCCTCTTGCTGGCTGTCATGGTGCACTGTCTGGACAATCCATCTGTGCTCTGCAGAAAGCTCCAAATCCACTATCAAAGCAAAACTAGCAGTTTTACCCAAAATATGTCTGCTGCATTTATGATGTCCAGCACTCTAAATGTCTACATCCACACACTCATTTAAACTCTTTTGCAAATGTTCATTTTCAGATAATACGCTTTGTGGGTAGAAGGGCAATAGGCACTGTCAAAATCTATCATCAGCACGGTCAGCACCTAATATCCACTTTTAAAAATTGGCCATGGCCAGATTAACCCACCAGGTGGCCCCATGGGAAAGAAGAAAAAAAGCACTGTTATAGCTGCCTCTCATCCACCAATGCTGCCACCACCAATGAACAGCATTGTTCCCTCAGTGCTTGAACTTGAACTCACACGAATACATTCTGCTGTAGCTGAATGGGAGCAAATCCTTGCAGCCGCGTCCCAGAATCGAATGGAAAGCTTGAAACCAGAAGAGTGGAGGCCGTTACAGCGGCACAATAATGGCGATGGTTTTTTAGAATGATATTGCCGTAATGTTTAGCGGTCCACATACACTTTTCTGTGTATATGTTTGGTATTAACCTCTGAAGAGCTGTAATGAGCAGGGACTCTAACACTGCATCATGTTTTAATGCCACTGAATTCAAACATTCTGCTCCCATCTTTGCAAGTTCCAGAAGTCAATTTCTAGTTTTGCAATTTTGCAAAAACATGACTTTTCAAGTGTGAAAATGTTTCCGGTCACTCAACTTAACGTTTTTCTCCTCAGATCGCATGACTGACAAAGCATAAGCTGATAGGACAGACGCACAATTGATTATGCTCAGCCCCCCCCCTCCCATGTGAATGTAGCCCAGCTTCAAATTAGAGGAGAGAGAGGTCAAATTTCATACATTCAGATTAAACGGTTTCCAAAGCACAATATTTCAGTGCTATCTGCTTAATGGTGTCCTTCAATTTCACCATGGTTCGTTATTGTTGAGTTTTCACAATTAGGTATTCAGTTGCTTTTAACATTCCAATCCGTACGGCCCTCCGTAGCTTCCATTCCACTGAAAAGCTCATGAGCAACAAGCTGAAAAGTCCTCCTTTAATTTATACATGCTTTTAAGTTGTTGCTTTTTTAAAATCCGTAATACTGATATGTGACATTTTATGTAAAATATAAATATGGATTAATAAATTGGAGTGAAATACTATGGACATGAGTGCAAAACGTGAAACAAAATGAAAATCTGGAAATTAAACTTTGCAGCGCTTGAACATCAGAGTGTGCACACAACGAAGAGTCCACGACAGCTTCCTTTTCCTTCTTGTCGTTTCCATCTCCGATAAACGCAATGAAAAAAAAATGGTGTTGCATGTTATTAAAAGTTCAAATCACGTACAAAAAAAACTTCCCTTCACTTAATGCTACATGTTGCGTCAGATAAGAAATGACTCATGTGAGTGTTTCAATACACTAGAGGTGTGATGAAAAAAAAATCTCTTCTTTAGTTTGCAAATAGGAATAACAATTATAATACAAAATATAGTTCTTTATTTTTTCAATACAATTTTTTATTATATTCCAAAATGTCCCATTCAGCAGTTGACGCCTCTAGAGGGCGCTGCGTCACATGTCAAACGCACAGCAGGCAGCGGACCAGCATGCTGACAGAACATCTGAACTCTCTGGTGAAGTTGACAGCAGCTTCTCCGGAAGATGAACAGAAAAATATCCTACACATATTTAAGATTAAACCTCTAGAAAAAAAAAACACAACTCTCTCTTCATTTTTAATCTCTGAAGAAAAAACAAAACAACGCAGCCCCAACACTCCCGCCGCTCCCGTGCCAAGAAGAAGGCCTTGAAGTAACAATCAGCCTGCATCCAGCCATAATTGGCCAAGGTATTCCCTCTTGATATTTATAGATGGTATTAAAGCAGGATTGGCAATTTCTCTGTTGCGTGCAATATACCTGTAACATGATGCTCCGAGTCAGGGGGGGGGGGGGGGGGCAGCCTTGAGTGTGCAGTTAACAATAGTATTAATAACATACAACACAGCCCCCCCCCAGAGGAGAAAGTACGACGGAAATTAGCTGCCGAGGACAGACGAGAGTCCGCAAGTGGGGAGAGGAAAGAGAAGACGCAAGGAGCCTCGGTGGCGCAGGCCGAGGTGTCGCCTTTCGGGGGTTAGGATGGAGATGGGGGGCGGCGGCAGGGACCCCAACTTAAAAGGCAGGGCCGGCCGGTGGCGTGCGTCGCTCATCGGCATCGCTGTCAAGTGCCACATGCTTGTCTTTGCACTATGGGGGGTGGGGATGCTTGCATTCTCAAGGAGGACTGAGAGACGGGAGACACCGCGGTCACTGTCGCTGCAGCTGGCCGCCATAGAGGCCCCCAGCGGCTAAGAGGTCAAGGTCATGTGGGCATCTTCTGATCTGCCAGCAAAGGGACACTGGTCATAATGATTCAGAAGGATGAAACAAGTTAAAATGATACTGTAAGACACCACTGGAATATTCTATAAATAGGAAACGTTGCACACACACACCCAAGCAGGATACCCTGCCACTACTTGCCATGTGTGTGTGTTTATTTATTCTTTTGCGATCTTTCCTTCAATTTCCACGCCTGTCTTTTCCGACCCCTCTCTTCCCTCGCCCGACCTGGCCTGAAAGGAATTGCCCCGGTTAGATCAACCTCCTCCCGGCATCACTTCCTGTTCCTGTTAGTGGTGATTGTTCTGAAGGGGAAGGGAAGGCAGACGGGATGGGGAAAAGGGGACGGAGGGCAGCGGTGGGGGGTTCTTTGTTTCACTATCTGCCTCACCTGCCTGCCCCCCCCCCCGCCCCCACCTGACAGGCTTGACCCCAGCAGGCCCATGGCAGAGCCAGCCAGACGACCCGCTGGCTGTCTGTTTCCTGTCTCGCTGACTGACAGGATATTTGTAGCATGCTCGGAACACAGTTTGAGTTAGACTGCTAGTCTGAGCTAATGTTGTCCTTTTTCATTCACAGTTTAAGCTCATATTTCTTTATGTTACTTATTATTAGATGCAAGAATAAAATTCTAGGGCAACGTGTTTATTCTTATGGGAATGAGAGGTTACATTGAAAGATACAATGTGCAACGGCTTTGCCTTTCGGCAAGAGGAATGTTGTTACGTTATGGTGCGGATCCATTTGAACCGCGAGGTCGGAATTTGCACATTCCCAGTCGGAGGTTTCAACCAACGACTGATAATAAGAAGTGAACGTAGTCATGGTGACGTCACCCATTGGTTCGTGGACTGCCATTATGAAGCCTTGATTCACCGTCACCTTCTTGTTTTTTTTGCAGCCAATGAACGAAAGTTACCATATTTGGAATGTGGAGGAGTGACGTAGAGACTCCGTATACGTCAGCGACCTGTCAATCACAGTAAGCCCGCCCTAAAGCATACTCTGCTTCATTGTCTATTATTTGACTCTAAATAAACCTCACTCTCCCCTAATGATGACGTCTTTACCTAACCCTGTCACCTACAAAATGACTTTCCTATACAAGAAAACTGCACTGGATCATGTTTCCAGGGAAACGTATTTCCTCTTGGATTACGGTCAGTTTTACAGTTTGAAACACAAGGGTTAACGTTGTAAATTGAAACAGAACAAAAGAATGCTATTAAACTACTACCGACCTCGTCCTCTTGCAGAGTTCTGCAGACTCATTTAAGTCTTATTTGTAATACATCAAAAGCAAAAATAATCCACGCCAAAATGTTTTCCCCCGAAACCTAATTCAAGACACGATTTCATTGTATGGGAACGTCTTTTTTAGGAGACAGGGCTGCTGCATGTGCAGATTAAACAAAAACAGTCTCACTTTAAACAAAGTGAATGTTTATAACTATTGACAGCTTTAATCCAAAAAGCAGCAGCGTTTGCATATCTTTATCACTTGAGTGCCACAACACCCATTTTGGCCTCCCGATGCGTTTAGATGGACAAACTGTTAAAGTCAATGACTTTGAGTTGGAGCAGGTGGGGTTGTGGTGGCGGTAACCCGTATGTGAACCTATTCACGCCCAGTGTGACGCACAGGTCGGCGTTTTGTTCCCTCCAGTCGATGGTATCACTCACGGACGTGATAGCAGTCAGTAAGAACAGGCATGATTACATGTATATTCCCTTCATTCAAAGCAGACAATCAAAAGGCTCTACCCTGGGAAGCAATAATAGAAGCATGTGTAATCGTGTTTTTTCTTTTTCTGTGCCCGAACTCATGGAGTCGATGTGAGTCATGACCTAATTATATCTTATGTTCTTCTTCAATGTACGGCCTTTATACGTCAGTAGATGCTGCAAAAACCAGGTTGTGGTTTGTGGCGTGTCGCCTCCATATCTGCATGTATATTTAATTAGTTTACACTCAAAACATCTTCATGTGTTATCATATAATGACCTAAAAATCCCAATTTTGTGTATTTTCCCGCTGTCATTTAGTTTGATTTATGACCCCCTCGTTAAGATCATCAAGTAACAAGCTGCTTTTTTTTTGTTAATTCATGCAAAGCACTCACGTACGCGATGTAAGGTGGCACATGTGCTTGTCGGGAACAAAAGCGGATAGAGAGGTGAGGT